TTAAAATAAATTGGAACAAGTTTCATTAAATTAAAGATAGAAATTTTCTTGCAAAAAAAAAAACATCAAAATAGCCAAAATATTTAAATTCGATATCTACATACTATATAACCACTGTTCAAAATAACATATGAAATTTTATCTTTGAGTAAAATTTAAAATTCATATAAATATTTAAATTCAATACTTAAAATGATATAATCATTGTTTCGAATTTTTGAAAAAATTAAAATTTATTGTTAATTGGAATATGAGTTTCATAATAAAATATTTACATTAAAGTTATTCATTATTTAAATATATAATCACTTTAAATTAAATATTTTATTTTAAAAGACATTTTCCAAATAATAATAATTTTTAATTTAGCAAAAAAAAATTAATTTCAAATTACGTTAGCATATAATCAATTAAATTAAGTACTATATTTTGACCTATATTAAAATGGATGTTTATATTTTGACCTCCGTACGCTCATATTCATAATAAAATGAATTAGCTGCTCATTTATAAAAATATTCCAATAATTAAGTACACCACTATTTAATAATTAATTAAAAGTAAAAAATAAAAATAAAAATGCACAAATTTAATAATATAACGGGTTTTAACAGTTATTAAAAATAATCACAAGCCATTTTTATAATATTGTATTATTTAAGAATGTATTTAATAATCTCAAAAATAGTAAAATACTATTTCAATACATTTATAAAGTACTTCCAATAAAAAATATATTTGAATGGATATAATTGTTGCGGGCTAGAATATATGCGGCGATAGAGTTAAAATTCTACGTCTTAGTGTTGCATGGATATCCAACTCACACACATAGAAACATAAGATTTTTTACGTGGAAAATCCTGTAAAATAGAAAAATCATGGGGAATGGCCCAGTCTGAAATGATTTCACTAATGTTTGGGGTAGATTACAATGGGCTGACTCGTCCTTATGGGAGATCAATTTACAAATATGAACCGTATGTTAAAATCTAGTGTCAAATGTGGGTAAAAGTCCATTGTCACTTGGTAGTCCGGCGGAACTACGATGTTAGGCAGTTGTTTGGCAGAACAACGATGTCAGGTGATGGTTCGACGAAACTACAGCATCTAGCGATGGTTCGGCTAAACTATGGTGTTAGGCGGTGGTCCGGCGAAATTACGGTGGTAGGTGGTGTTCTGGCGAAACAACGATGTCATGTGGTGGTCTTGTAGAACAACGGTGTCTAGCGGTGGTCCGGCGGAACAACGACGTCAGGTGGTGTTCCGGCTGAATTACAACGGCAGGTGGTGGTCCGATGGAACAACGGCGTCAGACAGTGGTCTGGCGGAACAACGGTGTCAGGTGGTAATTCGACATATCTACAACGTTTGACAATGGTCCGGGTTGAATTACGACGTCAGGCGGTCGTCCGATGGAAGTACGGTGGCAGGTGGTGGTCCGATGGAACTACGACATCAGGTGGTGGTATGGTGGAACAACGACATCAAGCGGTGGTCCGGCGGAACAATAGTGTTAGGTGGTGGACCGGTTGAATTACAACAACAGGTGGTAGTTCGGTGGAACAACAGTGTCAGGCGGTGGTCTGGCAGAACAACGACGTTAGGCGGTGGTCCGGCGGAACAACAGCGTCAGATGGTGTTCCGGTTGAATTATTGCAGCAGGTGGTGGTCCGACGGAACAACAACGTCAGGCGATGGTCTGATGGAACAACGGTATGAGGTGATAATTCGATGGATCTACAACGTCTAGCAGTGGTCCCACTAAACTATGGCGTCAGGCGGTGGTTCGGCGGAAGTACGATGGCAGATGGTGGTCCGGCGGAACTAAGACGTCATGTGGTGGTCTGGCAGAAGTACGGTGGCAGGTGGTGGTCCGGTGGAACTACGACGTCAGGCAGTGGTCCGACGGAACAACAACGTTAGGTGGTGGTCCGGCTGAATTACAACAGCAGGTCGTGGTCCAGTGGAACAACAACGTCAGACAGTGGTCTGGCGAAACAATGGTGTCAGGTGGTGGTCCGGCTGAACTACGACGTCAGGTGGTGGTTTGACAGAACTACGGCGGTGGTCGAGGAGGCAATGAAGTAAGAGCGATATTCGATCTCTCTCTTGAGTCTCTTGGGCTTATGTAACTCTTTTCAAGAGGGAGGAGGGATCTATTTATGAATTTCCTGGAGTGGAATGACCCGTAAATAGGAAGAGGATCAAGGGAAAATGGGGAGTGGCTTGGATGGACGGCCGATGATGAATTCTTTGATCATGGATCGTTCGTTAAACATTTGAAGGTCTTAATGATGTCAGAATTTTGTGATCTTGGACTAGTTCTATTCATCTCGTCGAGTCACTCGATTTGACTATAAGCATGTTACGTTCGGGAAATCGCTTGGTAACCTAAATTGTGGTTTGAACCTTCCAACAGTTCTTCAGATATGTGATTTGGACCTATTTGGGCTCGGATTGAGTTGAATTTGGTGTCGTTGGGTTCGTATTTCTGAAGCATTCAGTTCGACTATAAGTTTGCTGAAATCAGAACTCAAATGGTCCCAATTTTAATTTTGGAAATTTCCAACTTGATTTTACATCGAGATTTGTGCCTGATCAAGATAATTTTTTGATGATATATCAGTTGCCCTCTTATTTTTAGACGTCAAAACTCTACAAGTCCTGAAATATGCGCCGCGGCTCGTGGGGTATTTCTTGGGTGATTTGAAATTCAAAACTATTGTAATTTAGGGTGTAGAGGTCCCGGACGGCCTTGAAAATATCAAAATTGAGTCTGAAACATCGAAAAATGGTTCCGGAGACTATAAAAAAGTCCAATTTGACCTTTTGAGAGCCAAATTTGGGTTAAAAATATTCTAAAAGTTATAATTTAAATAAAAAAAATAGAGTTATTTAATTCACTTATTCCTTGGTGGATGAGTGGATAAGTTTTTGGGTTTTTTGCTCAAGATCCTGGGTTCAAATCCTGTTGAAAGTGAGGGTTTTTTGTAGTGCTGATGTGGCACTAATATGTAGGGGCGAATCGATGATGTGGCAGTGAGACACAAGACTGGTTGATGATGTGGCAATGACACATAAGACAGGTCGACGACGTGTGCGGACACAAAAAAAACCCTCACCTTCAATAGGATTCGAACTCAGCACCTTGGGAAAGAAACCCAAAAAACTTATCCACTCATCCACCAAGAAATAATTGATATAATTAACTCTACTTTTTGTTTAAATATCATATATATATATATATATAGGCCTGAATGAGATGGCTTGACGTATTAAAAATGGTGATGAGGAGAGATTATTGCATGTGGTGTCCGAACCATCTGGAGGCTAATCCGGATGCACCACATCACCCGGATGCACAGGGCCTCAGGTGACGTGGCGTATCCAGATTCCTCTTTGGACGAATCCAGACGCCACATGCAATAATGTTTCGGTGATGAGAGATATCAATTACAATGTATTTTTTTTATGAGAAATCGAACTTGTGATATTCCTGAAAAATAAAATTATAAAAATTCATTAGAGAAATATAAAGAAAAGATAAATGAGAATAAAAGCAAATGATTATTCAACTATAATTCGATTAATGAATAAGATTTTTCTACTCTATCAAATTGGATGAATATCTTGAAAGTAATATAATCAAATAACGAGAAATGCAGAAATGGTTTAGAAAAAGCAGAAGAAATCTAAAAAAAAAAAAACGAGTTTATATAAATAACCTCTTACCTTTATAAAAGAATATTAAAAATTAAACTATGAAGCTTATGTTTTAATCTTAAAATGGAGATATAATTCATGAAAGAAGATGAAATTAAGAAATAAATATTGAATTTCATATTTATTTAGTAAATATTTGACCCTTTTTGAAATACAAAGTAACTTGAAATCATTATAAAAATTGCAGGATTGTAAAATTTAACATATATAAATAAATTACCTCTTCTTAAATTTTTTGGGACAAAAATTTCACAGCACAATAGCAATACATTTATCACAGGTAGGAGGTGTTGGGCATGTTAGCACACCTGTTACACCAACCTACAACTACCTGTCCACTTCGCTTATTCTCTGCAAAAACAATCTGGTGTACAACGACTTTGGCATATTTTGTTCCCTTAGCTCCCTCCTATATATGTATTCCGTTCTGGGTTATAATATATTGAGATTAAGCTTGCTATGGTGAAAATTTATTCTCTTCTTCTTCCTCTCTGCCTTTTTCACTCTTCCGTACAACAATTCATAAACTGCCATGTTTCTTATCAGGGCATGGGTTTTCACCTAATTGATTAAGGCTTCGCTTGGGACGGCTTTCTTCTTACTTTCTAAATCAGCTTTTTAGTTTAAAATTTATTAAATTTGAAATTTTTACTAGAAAATCGTTTTAAAAAGAGTACGAAAGTTATCCCAAACGAAGCCTAAGAATGATTGGTATATATATATATATATATATATATATGAGAAGATTGTTTTTTAATATTAGTTTAACAAAATAATTTTTAATTTCAGGTATAATTTCTACCGTCTCATATCATTTAATTATGAGTAAATGCATATAAGAGAAGAGCCAAGTTCTAAGAAGCGGAGGTGTTTAAGTATGTAATTGTTGGATAATTGCTGTGCAACCTTTCCAAATCTGGATGGTTTTCCCGTCCAAACTCCGCATGTAATAATTTCTTGTACTTTTGATGTGAAAATGGTATGAGACTATATTTAAATTAATTATGAATAGGGGGATTTACATTCATATCATTTATACCATCTTATTTACATATCTAACACTTCAAATTTTAATATTACATATATACAATTTTATATTATTTTAATATCAAATATGCCACTCATATTTCATTCATATATTTTATTTCTATAACTCATATTTGATATAAATATGAGCTATGAGTGGTATGTATGTAATATTAAATTTTTTATGTATTAGATATATAAATAAAATAGTATAGCATGCTATGTATATATTAAATGTCAATTTAAACCACTGTTTGGCGGAAGTCGTAAAGCGAAGAAGCGGCGAGGGAAGAAGCGGGCAGCTAATTCAATCCTAAGCCGATTAGATATTTTTAACAATGAGCAGAACAACAGTAGCACAGAATCAAAACTTCAGAAACGTCTCTTCATTAGTGAAGCCCACAAAGGAGGCTTTCCGTCTGCGCCGTTCGCCGTTGAAGACTTAGCAGATGATAGCTGGTATTCCTTTCTTTCGGTGAGATCCCTTTAAGGCCTTATTTCCTGGTTCTATTCCTTGTCCCTTTAATGTTAGGGTTTTTTATGCTCGGTCCCATCTGAAGTTATTGTTTTGCAGATTCCGGCAAGTTGTCTAGTCAATTTAAAATAGTTTATGCTCTTTTAAGAATTCTTGCAGGTCTATCAAGCAGTGTGGCAAATACTCTGTGCATTCGGTTGTACCCTTTCCAGGTGTTTATACCATTTTTTGTCTTTTATTGTATCATTAATCTCTTTGCTTTATGTATGCTATACTTGTTTCCAGGAAGCGTGGTCATATTTTTTCATCTATTCTTTCTCTCATTTTGGTATAGGGATACATAAGCAAAAATCTAAAACCACCATTGATAGTCTGAAGCTTGGATGAGAAAAGTTGTCTTTTTTATGTTTGATTGTTTGCAATTGTAAAGCCAACTCATAAAGAAAACCCAAAATTGAGTTTTGATGGTGCTAAGGAATTCTTCAAACGTGACACACCATGACCTAAATTGATTATGATGAGAACTATACAAGAGTTTTCTTGGCCAGCACTCGTAAGTGAAGCACCCTAACTTGCTTGATTATGGTGAAGTAGGCAAGAATTGGCTAGGATGTTGTCATCACATCTTGACTCAATTGTTTTGAAAATTGAGCAGGGGTTGAATAGGTCTTAAGATTAGATTTGATAGATAAAGGTTTAGATTTTGAATTGAAAAACAAGAGAATTAATGAACAAAATGAACATAAGAAGAATTAATCTCTTGTTTTCAAGAAACTTAATGGAAAAGGTGTGGAATTTAGTGTTATTGGAGGGGGTTACAAACTATATTGTATGTTAGGAGGGATTAGAGAATTTTATTTCTATTGTTTAGTTAGTTTGGGATTAGAGAATTAAAAACTAGTTTTTAGTTTTTTTTTCTTTTCTATATAATTACTTCTCCACTTATTTATATATAAATTTTTATTTTATTTTTAAATGGAATGAAAAAATAAAATTCAGTTATAAAATATAATTCTTTACTCTCCTCTCTTTTCATTCCAATTTTCAAGATGGCATCAGAAACATTAAGGTTCTGCAACCTATGAGGCTAATGAGTCCTTCAACATGGTCTTCCTCTAAGTTGATGGCTCCTTCACTGACTCTTAAAGCCAGTCTTTATTTCGAAAGAGTGGCGAAAAGATATGTGAAGGATTCAATTTAAAAAAAAAAGATAGCAGCCTTTGCCATGAAGAAGCTTATGGTCAATAAGCTGGCAATAATACTGAAAATCAAGCTCAAAATGGAAAATTTTGATCCAAATGTGGAAAATCCATGATGGAACTTTGGACAAGTAAATCCCAAAGAGAGCGAATAATAGAGATAAATCACAATAAATCTCTCATTTCTATTTCAACCTTCTCAACATCAAACTGAAGATAACCATTTAGTCTCCTTGCGTAAGCTTATCCTTAGGGCTCAAACGAACCGAGCCGAGCCGAGTATGTGAGTGTTCATGTTTGTGTTCATTTAATATCAGGTTGTTCAAGTTTGGTTCATGTTTGTTCGAGCTTTATTGTTTGTGTTAATGTTTGGTTCATTTAAAATGATGAGTGTTCATGTTCGGTTCATGTTCAGTTCATGTTCATTCGTTTAGTACTTATCGAGCTTTAAACAAACAAATATGAACAAGTTATAAACGAGCTATATTTTTAAATGTTCATTAACTTAGCAAACGAGCTTTATCGAGCTTCCTGGCAAACGATTACATCGAGCATCTTCACGAACATATCTAACATTTTTTTTTAATTATCAAACAAACGTTCATGAATATATCTATAAACAAACACATTTATAATAAAAGAAATTGTCTATGTAACAAAGGCAATGATTTATAAGCAAATCCCATCTTCTTAGAATTTTCCTAATACCAGCATTAATAAAGGCAATGATTTATAAATAAATAGCCATATAAAGCTATAATTACTTAGACAATAAGTTAAGTAATATTTGATACCTGCAACAATCATTGATCCAATAACAACTAGTGGCAACAAAAGGATTGCTCTTGCATCTTGAGAGGTTTTTTTTCGTGCTTTCTTAGTAAAAGGATTTTCTTGTTGGACAATGTTCTGTTATAACTGTTGGACTTGAAGATGACCCAACACTAATTTGGACATCATGAACTATCAATCCTAACTGCTTTGGTGAATTTTCAGACATACCTTTAAAAGAGAAGTCAACGATTATGTTAAACGTGAATCATATTTGCTAGTGCATATATTCAAGTTCAAAATCGAACACGAATCGAGCTTAATGTCGAGCTTGTTCACGAACTTCAAATGATGTTGTTCACGAACATAAATGAGCCGAATGCATTAGTGTTCAAGCTTGTTTATTTAAGAATCGAGTATTTAAAATATTGTTCAAGTTTGTTTGTTTAGTTAATTAAACGATCACGAACGAGCTTTAAACGTACTAAACAACGAGTAGCTCGTCTAATGTTTGGTTCGCGTGTAGCCCTACTTATCCTATTGGTCGACAAATATCAACTGCAATTATTTTAGGAAGCATTTTAATTAGTGTTGTTTTAGAATGCCCCTTATTAGTGATTTTATAGTTCTAGTTCTTTGAGTTGTAGTAATTGGATTGATGCTTGTTGATTTACTATATTTGTATGTATGCATTTCTAGTTTCTAGTTTCAATCTGTGTTAGCACAAATTCTCTTAATGTGCTATTTTTGTATAATTGTAACATTTTAAATATTACTAAAATATTTAGTTGATCGAGTTATAATGTGGTGTGCTATGATATTGGCTTGATATACTTTGTGCTTGTAACATTTCTAGTTTCCATCAAATGTCAAAAGTTTCTTTTATTGATTTATGCCTTGAATATATCTGCGAAAGAAGTTATTCTAATCTATTAAATTGAAGGTTCAACTTATTTCTAGGAGTCCAAATCATTCAAAATTAAAAAATAACGATCAATCATTCATGACAATTGAACTAAAATTTTGAAGCTTCTTAAGAAGATTTTCTCCTAGTAAAGTCATTGAGGATCTAGTTCTGTTTGCTCCAATAAAATATAGAGACCCGTTCTCTTATAAACTTTTTTAGGCTACTCTTGTTATTCCTTGTGGAGATAACCTCTCCTTAGAAATGACTGTATATATATCCGGTCTGTTCAGTAATACATCATGATGTTTTTAAGAAACTAATTTCATTATTTCCTAGGTAGAGATAGTTTTTGTTTAATGTTGCTGTAGATAACTTGTTTTATCCAGTTGCATGTCTTTAAAGTGTTTTTCAATAGATCTTCGAGAAGCTAATTCCATTTGCTTTCTCTCAACAAATCCTTCTTTAATATGAATCCACTCTTTAGTAAATATTTTGAAAATGCTATACTCATTATACCCAGTAGAAATAGCCTCTGATTAAATTCGATTGTTGATAGACTTAGTCTATCCATTTAAAGATTTTGAAGCTTTTAGTATATTTTCATCCTCAGAAATCTTTTAAAAGCTATCTCACCATCCCCAGCAGAGATAGCCTCTAATTGATATGTTTGTGTATCAAGTCAGTTTATCCGATAATAAACCTTGGGTTTTTTAAATATTCTCTCACTTAAAATTTTTGTGAAGATAATTTTGTCTACTCTTTCATTTGATTCCTTTTAATTAATACCATACTATTGTGAAGTAATCAATCATGTTTTGTTCTACATTGATATGGAAATGCTTTGCGCCTGAAGTCAATTTAGAATCGATCATTCTAAGTTCCTGAACTATATTGTTGGTAATGCCTAGCATTTTTGGATCATGTTCAACCATACTTAGTGCTCTCAAGCCTTTTTGATTCAAAACAAATCCTAGAACCTCATCATGGGAGGATGTTTCTTTTGATATACTACTACCTTGATTTAATTGAAATATTTGGTAGAAGCAACTCATGGCTATTAATTAGGCTACTTGGAAGACGTGGCTCTTAGCCTTACAACTTTGATAGATTACATCCACCAAGTTGACCTAGGATGGCAATACCAAAAGATTTAGGTTGAGTTGACCACCCATTCCCCACTTCAATCTAAAAACTTCTTGTAGTTGATTTCTTTAATGGAGTGTTTTAATTACTATCATGCTTTTACATAAGATTTTGATTTCCTAGAATTAAAATAAATTCTTGTGGACTAGCTAAGAAAATCTTTGGGGACTTCTACTCAAATCACCCACTAAAACTTGCTAGTTTTCTTCCCAAAAATCCAAGATAACATAAATATTATCCCAATGGGTGCATTTTAGAGTTCACAATAATATGAATAAATATGAATATATGAGAATCCAATGGTTGAGACATAATTAAGTTTTAAAATTAGGGGTTGTTTGGCAACAAGTAGGATTTAACTTTAGTGGGATTTAGTAAATCCTGTAAATTTGGATTTGGTAAATCCTGAGGGTGTTAACTGTTAAATGCTGAAAAATATTTGGTATGACATATTTTCAATCCTGATAAATCTTGAGAAATTTTTTGGCAACGTAATCCATGATTTAAGGCAGTTGGTTCATTTATAAATTAAATTTAATGTATTTTGAATTTAATTTGCTAGTTTAGTATAAGTTACTTATTAACTTTAATTTAATTATTTTTAATAAGTTAAAATGATAAATAATATAATTAGAGCTAATTTAATTATTGTTAATTATGAAATTAGTTATTTATGTGTTAATTATCAAATTACTTATTATATTATTAATTATCTAATTATATTTTTAAACACAGATTAATTTGTTAATTATTTTTTGAAAATAGAAATTCTTTAATTGATACTCATATTAATGATTTAATTAATTATTTAAGTATTATTTAATTAGTTTTAATTATAAATTATACAATTAATTATCTTATTAATCACTTAAGAATTCTATGAGTCGCTTCTTCGGCTCCTTCATTGTTGCTCGAGTTCGCTCCTTCGACGTCGTTCCCTCCTATCAGATTGGAAGTTACAACATTTTGATTGGAAGCAATGATGGGAGCTCGCTAAAACATCTTCTTCACCTCGTTTGAAGGTGTTGGATCGGAAGTCACAACGGGAGCTCGCTTGCTACGTATGTAACCATCTTCACCTCCTTTAAGACGGGAGCTTGCTTGCCGCTGCGGAAGAACTTCCCGAATCCATAAATTCTGTTAAATCCGCCGAACAACGGGATTTAGTAAATCCCGAATTTATGCCGTAAATCCACAAATTCGGGATTTACACGGGACTCGGATTTACTGCTCGATCAAAAACTGTTTGGCAATATTTACCGTAAATCCGTTGTAAATCTGGCTTAAAACTCGATACCAAACAGCCCCTTAGGCTTGATGGACACCATGGTGATGGTAGATGCATTAGATTACTTTCATTTTTGTTTTGATACAATCATCAAATTTCTAGGATTGCCTTTGTAGTAGAAGTTTACACAGTCTCTATAATTGGCAGGATGAAGGGCGGTCAAAGTTCATCGGACAAGCACAAGAAACAGCAAGCTGCGACAGTTCGGAGACCAATCTTCAGGGAGCCAGGTTCCTATTTCATCAAATAATCTCTTTTTATATTCTTGCTCAGTTTTGACTGTCTTTGATCTTGATGTATTGGTGGTTAACAACTGTGAGGTTTTTATTTTTATTTTTACTTTTATTTATTTGTTTGGTTTAATACTAATTTGTAATTTAACTAACTTCTGTTATTATCAAGATTGCTTAAATAGCTTTAAGAGATCTAAAATTTGGACTAGTTTTAAAACTAGAGAATTGTAATTTTAGCTGTGAAATCATATGTTGAAGGGAGTAGGACAACGACCTGCAGTTAGAGCTTTTAAGTAATTGATGAATGCCCTGATGGATTGATGGGATTTCATTTGCTGTCTATCTTTTACGTTTGTGGGTTTACTATTTCGTTATTAGATTGCTGTTGTATCTTTTCTGGTTCTTTTTCACAGTTATTGAAGCTGCATCCGTGAAAAATGTGAATAGAGCATCTGAAAAAATTACAAACGTACCTGAACAGGTTGGATGCCCTCCTAACTTTATGCTAACATGATAAAACGGTTGTAATTAATTTAAACTTTTTTGTGGTAATTATGGATGTAGCATTTTCATGATTATGCTTTCCATGTCTTAATGATTTCAATTAGTTTTTAAGCTCAGTTATCTATTCTCTATGTTGCATCAGTGATAATTTTTTTCACACTTTTGGTTCATCATCTCCTTGCGTGAACTTGGTGTTGACATTCTTTTCGTTGGTCATCAGCCAAAATAACCTCCTTGAACTCATCCCACACCTTAGATGTCTTCTTCCTTTTCTTTCTTTCTGTTACATCTTCAAGCTTGTTTTCCTCATCAACTTTATCGTCATCATTTTTTTTTTATTTTCATTAGTCCATCTTTCAACTTCTTCATCAATGTCATTGTTATCATTAATTATTTCATTCTCATTCACAGGTTCACCTACACTAGGTTGCTCATCAAGTCTTTCAACTTCGACATTTACGAGCTCAATGTTATCTGCTTCTACGTTTACAAGTGTTGACATTCTACAGAAATATTTCAAATAGAAGGAGAAAAAAGATAAACCTCAACTTCACTTAAACATTACAGAACACCATAAATAGGACAAGTGTAGCAGCTGTCTACAAACAACATTTCACATGAATCCTCATGGTAATGGGCCAAATGGCTGCTGTGGTTGCCTGTAAAACTTCAGACCATCCAAACATGTTACAACATTACCATAGGAATAATATGATAAAGAGAAATATATGTGTGCATGCTATAATTTTTTCTGGTGAAAATAGCATTTATCAACTACAACTACAATAAAGATGTAAATATAGGTAACACTATTTACTGTATGCTTAATTCATTCAAACAGAGCAAAGAAAAAAGGAAGACATTCGTAAAAGGAGATATTAGGTATAACATAACCGAAGGATCAAAAGACAGTGGAGACTGGAGTCTGTCAAGTAACAAACTACATTGCACATTGTGCAGAACAAAGAACCCCAAAAACTACAAAAATATAAAATGAAACAAGTGTAGTAGCTGTCTACAAATAGCATTTTACATGAATCCTTTTCCTAATGGCTGTTGTGGTTGCCTGAGAAGTTTCAAACCATCCAAAGAAAAATATAGATATTACATAGAAAAATCATCTTCATGTAATTTCAAAAAATTTCAAATGTCAGAAAGTTTTAACAGCTATAAGCTTTGTAAATGATTTCGAAGTGAAGAGTCAACCCACAAATAAATAGAGAACATCTGCCCTTCGGAAGAATCAACCCATAAGAAAAAAATAGAAAGAAGGAAATTAGACGAAATCACAAATTGAATAATCTCTCGCCTCAGAATCTTCAGACACCTCAAAAACCAGCAAACAAACATATAAACGATTTTATTCACAAGGAAATAACATCAATATGTAAGAGGACTAAAGAAGAAAATTTGTAGAACATGGAACACTAAAAACTCCTCAGTTCACCAAATATGAACCTCCAAATGTGTTGAAGATCGAAGAAGAAGATTAAAAACTAAGTGCTAACTGCGACTTGTCCTCAAAACTACCGCATCATGCACTCGCTAGGTCACACGAGATGGCGAGAAGAAGATGGATGCATGGTTTAAAATTGCGCAATATGAGGCTCGCCTTGAGGTCAGCCTTTGTGCAATTCTAGTAAAAAACGCTTCGATGCTTATGCCTCGAGTTTTTTTTATGAGGCTTGCGCCTCAACTTGGTTGAGGCCCGCCTCGCCTCATTGGCATAAGGCTTACGCCTCACACTATATATATTAAAACTTATATAAATCTTGAAGTAAATGCCCGACATTGGACACTATAGGAGAGGAGGAAGGGGAGAGAGCAGTTCATCATAATGATGATTCAAATGAAAAACCCCTTAGTGATGACAGTGTTGATGACTTATGAGTTTTTATGTGATATGTCATTATTATTTATTTTTGGAAATTGAAATTATATGTTAATGAAAAGAATACTGCGATATGGGAAAGATAGACATTTGAGTTGAACTATATTTCATGTTATTTTATTCTTGGGATATTTTGATTTCACTTCATATCATATGCTTTTTTATGTTTTATATTATTCACTCATTAGTATATCAAAAATTTATCATTTTATGTTTACGCAATCTTTTGATTTTGAGGTTTACGCCTCAAAACGCCTTGAGGCTTATGCCTCACCTCACGAATAAAAAAACGCCTCAATACCCGAATACGCAATTTTAAACATTGGATGGATGTTCGCTACTTCGCTTGAACTCCCAGCCATCTCGAAGGTGTGAATGGAATGAGGGTTGGACTTCATGAATCAGATGGTTATATATGGGGCTTTATTTTATATTATTTTTTATCGAGCAGGCTCAACGAGCTCTCGTGTCGTGTCCGGTTGTCCTCGAACTCGAGCTTGTATATTACACGACCTTGCTATAAGCTCGAACTCGAAGCTTGACTCACGAGCTCGTTAACAAGTCGAGTTCGAGTCGACTCATGAGCCGACACGGCTCAGCTACACCCCTATCTTAAAATATCAATCATGAATTGCAGTGCCAACATAAAGTCAAAAGATTTTATAGCATGTAATAGAATACCAGCTTCAACTGATTGTTGATCATGTATCTCATCTTTCTTAACAATTTCAAGCATTTTGAGTATAGAAGCATACAATTTTGTTAGATTGATGAATGTTTGAAAATGTGAACTCTAACAATTGTCACTAGCACACTGCAAATTAGTTTCTTGGTTCAAATCCGGACCAATGATTAAGTCCTCAGTGCTTAGATGACAAATTATTTTATCGCGTTGATGCTTTCAGAGTATCATTTCTCTTGCATGAAGCTCCAATACTATTTAGAATTCTTGAAGTAATCTCAAATAAAGGCTTCACTTGTCAATGATTCTTTACTACAATCACTAATGATAATTGAAGTTAATGAACAAAACAATGAATGTAGAATGTCTAAGGATTATCTTTTAGTATAAGTGCTTTCAAACCATTAAACTTCTCTTGCATATTAGATACTCCATCGTAACCTTGATCACGTATTCTATGTATGCTTAATGAATATTTTGCAAAAAGAGTTTCTAGTGATGCCTTCAGTGCTACTGCATTTGTTGAAATAACATGATTAATACCTATAAACATCTCAATTACTTGGGTTAACTTGTCAACATATCTAACCACAATAGCTAATTGTTCTTTTATGGACATATAACGAGACTCATCAACAAGAATAGTGAAGTAGGAATCACCAATATCATTCATAATTGCAGCTAAAGTCTCAGTAGCCATAGAACTACAAATCTCATTTTGTACTTTTGTTGCAATCAATTTTAACTTAGCACCTGCATTTTCAAATATTACTTTGTCTTTTTCGTTATGATTTGTAAGAAATTGAAACAGTTCTATATAATTTTTTTGATTATCTGAGATAGGTGATTTATCATACCTACGGAATGATTGTCCTTGGCGGATAAGCAATCAAACACAGTCAACATTTGCAGTCAACATGATACGATATTCTTTTTTATTCATCTAATTCTTGCTTAACCATAAAGTAGGAATACTCTGCTCTTGATGCTTCATTAAAATCTCACATTTCTATCTTTCCTTGTCGTGTGCACTGGTATGTTCTCCTACATGGCCCAAAAGTTTTTCTTTTATCTTCTAGTTTTTAATTTTTTCACCAACGAATGAGTCTCCACCACCTTGGCATGTGATAATTTGCTCTTGGGGCTTAAATAATTAGCACTAAAGATAAAATACAACATCTTTTTGTACACTGTATTCTAACTAGTCAGAATATTCTTCAATTATTTGAGTTAAATCTACATGCAACATATTTAATCATTGTTTGAGGGAAATGATGATTTTTTGGGTTGATGAGTTCCCTTCAACAAATAAGTTCTCCGAACTTTATCCCTCTCATTTACATCGTAATTTCAAATTAATGGTTGAAGCCCAAGGTCACTAAGGAGATTGTTAATATCAATCTATACACGTTCTTTCCTTTTAAAAAATTTATCCATTTATAAAATGCTTGACGGTATCTTATATGTTCGGTAAACTAACATGGCAAAAAAAAAAAAAAATCCACTATAAGAAGAGATTAGTATCAGAATAACTCCTTGTATTAAATAAAATAAGATTTCACTCTGTCCAAATAAAATAAGAGGAGATTATTGTAAGAATAATTCTCTATATTAAATAAAATAAGATTCCACTATGTTAAAAAAATTAAATTAACATTAAGCTGAGTGGATGAATGTAACTTGACTTTCTTTATGATTTTAAAATAGGGCTCCAAACGAGCCGAGTCTAGTCAAGTATGTGTGTGTTCATGTTTGTGTTTATTTATTATCAGCTTGTTCAAGTTCGGTTCGAGTTTGAATTGAGCTTTTGTGTTTGTGCTCAATCTTAGTTCGTTTAAATTAATTGGTGTTCATGTTCGATTTATTTCATGCTTATCGAGTAAGGCCTTCTAACAAAGAATTTCATCAAACATATTCGTGATTATATTTAGCAAAGTTTTTTAAACTATTAAACAAGCACGAACATATCTAATGAGTATTCTTGAGCTACCTAATGAGCTTATTCACAAACAAATGATCTATTAGTCATCTTATATTTGTTCAAAGTGCGGGTTGTTCGTAATTTTAGGTGTATGTGAGAAATAAAAATAAATTAGTAAACAATTTTAGACAGGATTAGTAAAAATAAATTATATATATATATATATAACTCTAATATAGTTTTAATCGAGTTCTTAGTCGAGCTCTAATTGAACTTCTTAACGAGTTTGTTCACGAGCATTAAACGATACTATTTATGAACATGAATGAACCGAACACCAAGTTGTTCAAACTTGTTTATTTAGCTATCGAGTATTTATCAAAAGTGTTCAAGCTCGTTCGTTTACCTTATCAAACAAATATGAACGAGTTCTTATCGAGTTGAGTCACGAGTAGGTCTTCGAACGCTCGATTGAGCCACAAGTAGGTAGTCTACCGCTCGGTTCATTTGCAGCCCTATTTTAAAATAATAAAAATTATTGAAATTTTGATGCAACCCTATTAAAAATGGAGCTATCTTCCTAGCTTGAAGCTTTTGAGACATTTCTGTTTCATTGTAGCTTAGTGACATGCATAAGGGCAAAAGGCAAATTTGATCCATGTTCACTCTGGTGATAACTTTGATATCGAATTAATACTCTGTTAAATATTTTAAAAAATGATGAGAAATCCAAGATTTTCTCACTTAATATTAGATCAGAAGATAAATTATTATTAATTAATGAAATCAGAATTATTTTAGAATTTTTCACATATTTGTTCACAACAAAATATAAAAAATATACTCAATATATATATACAATAACATCAAGTCTTTATCCCACTATGTGGGGTCGCCTATATGAATCATTTTTCTTCATTCTGTCATGTTAAGCATCAAATTATCATTTAATTCTAATAAAGAAAGGTCATTTCTAATATTTTCTAACCATATCTTTTTAGGTCTACCTCTACCTTTATTATATATATATATATATATATAAACAACACAATTGCTGTAAAAAACTATATCAAATATATAATCAAAATTGTATCTGTAAAACGTTTGTTTTATTTCTACGGTTTCTAACCTAGAGTTCTATGCAAAAATAGATAACAACATTATATATAATCATGATGAATCTTGCTTCGAGGCCTCACACTAGGGGGAGTCGGAGAGGTGAAACAAGCGGTGTGAAGGAAAAAAAATCAGAACTTATTTGAGATGATGGCATGCTGATGATAAGGCTGAAGAAGGCGACGCTGGCCTGCTGATTTTTCACTTTCATGGCTTTGATCTTTAAGAGCGGTTGTAGATGAAGAAGAGGGAGGTTGCAGGGGAGAGCTGGGAATCGAGAGCGAAGAGCTGAGAGTGATTTAGGAAATCACCGTAAACAATCACCTTGGGCAAAAGGGTAAAATATGAGGTGTAGGGGGGCAAAATACCAAATTACCCTCATCATATTTGTTTTTTTTAGGATGGGCAATGCATGGGTCCACCTATGATATTAGTTAATAAATTAGCAGTTCTACCGATTACATTGTTGGGTGGACAGCCCAAAGTTTAACTTTCCATCTTATTAAGTTTAGATAGTCTGGCATTTCGGGGTAAAGCTTGTGGTTATGAGGATATTACCCTTCGGAAATGACTGGTCAGCACTGACATTTTCAATCTGTAATTCTTAGTGATCTTAATCCGTGACTATCGCTAAACTTTCCAAAAAAACTGCTCTCCTAATGTTCTCAAAGCCAACAACTACTGCGCTTTGGGACCCGTAGCTTTATTTCCATATCGTTAAACTGTGTCCCGTGGCTTTAGGAGATTTTGGTTGGAGATATTTGGGAAGTCACGAATTTATTCATTGATTGAAGAAATACAAAATAAGAATTAGAACTGACTTGTTCATGCATATTGACCAAAATTTGGTTTGTTCTATTTTGCTAGATTCCATTTTGTTGGAAATCAATGTGGGTTTCAAACTCCATCAAGACCTCAAATGAGTAGCTTCTTCTCACATGCAAAAAGAGTGAAAACAAAATCTTCTCTTTCTAAAACATGTTTTATGTACAAGAGATCAAATAGGTCCTAATATGAAAATATCTCATTTAGTAATTAAAATGCAATATCAATAATTTTCTTTTTACGTAGTGTTAAAATACCATGCCTTTGTGGGGTATGCATGTGACAATTATTGGTTATTTGTGGCATATTTTCTTACTTCAATCATAATTTCATGCTATATTTTTTATGTGCTCTTCTTTTTAACGCTACTGCTAATTTGGCTTATTCACTTGTCTCAAACCACAGGCAGTGAAAAGCCCAAACCTTGATTTCACCCATTTTGTATCTCTCCCCCTCGCTATCCACCGTGAACTGGTAGAGAAGCTAGAAGGATTTCAGAAATCTGTACTGGAAGAAGTTAATATGATACCTGGTGAATTTGCTTTAGCAAACTTTTACATCTTAAATTGTCCACCAATTTAGTTGTACAATTAAAGAATTTTCTTTCTTTATGTTAAAATGTTAAGGAGCATTCCTTTTAGCAATGATTTGATTAATCTCATAGCATGTAAAGATTATGTTTATATCATCAATGTTGGCGTTCTTCTAGAAGTTTTTTTCCTTAATACTTTTTTTTTTTGGAGTAGAAACTGATCATTTAAAATGCAGCAATGGGTATTGAAAGGTCCATATTTATTAATCCTCAAACATTTCACTTGACTGTGCTTATGCTGAAGTTATGGAATAAGGATCGTGTTGCTATGGCTACTAAGATTCTAAAGGTATTCTTTCTTTTATTGAAGATATGATTAATATTAGGTGATTTGTCCTTTTTATTTTTCCAAATGTATCCTTTACTCTAAGCAGGAAATTTCTTTGAAAGTAATGGATGCTTTAGAAAATCGACCTGTTTATATAAGGCTAAGAGGAGTGGTATGATTCTTTGTTTCCAATAATTCGCTCAGCTCTTTCAAGATGTTCATACGCTCAAGTTTATGAGTTTATATTTTTTTATTCAACACTAATTTGTGTTTGTACTATTGTGAAGATCATGTTACTTCTGAGCTTATTTTTGTGAGAGCATATAGTTTTCTTGATCAACAGTGTTACTCTTTATTTGTCATCTGTATTGTACTAGAAGCATGCTTTCTTTGTGATTAAAGAACTACCATTTGGAGTTTCTAGATCTATGCTATGTTTCATTTCATGTTGCTAGTTAAGAAAATTAGCTTAAGTTTTCTATAATTTTTATCATTTTTAATGAACCTGGTATGGTCTTTGGATGTGCTTAGAAGCTTGGGTGATCCTGATTTGCCTTGAAAACGAAATCAAAAAGAAAAGATAGTAAAAACAATAGAAATTGAGAAACAACAGCTGATTTTTGTATTAATGTTTTAACACCAAAGAAAGTTACAATGATCTACTATTAGAGAGGTAGATCGTCTCTCTCATTTGACCTTGATGCCGCTAGGAAGCCCTCAAGTGAAACTTCAGAAAATTTATAGCAAAACTCGCAAACAAAACATGAAAAAACAAACCTTAGAATAAGCCATAATTAAATTCTCTAATTACCCCCAAATCAGCCGCCTTAATTAATTTCTCTCCCTTTCTCTATTTCAAAATTAGAATTCTTTTCTTTATCATTTCCCTCCTTATTTATTCTTCTAGTGTATTTAATCAAAGCTCTGCTGGGCCCCACAAGGGGCCGACCTGTTGTCTCCGCCCATGGGTTGTTCGTCCGGTTTTGCTGGACTGGCCCTTGCTGGGCTGGCTGTTTCCCTCCCCTATATTCGTCACCCTCGTAACAATACTCCCATCAAAAATTTTCTTGTCCTCAAGGTGGAAGGTAGGGAACTTTCTTCTGATTGTCTCGTATGGCTTCCATATGGCATCATGCTTTGACACATCCTTCAACTTGATTAGTACTTCATGTGTCCTGATCTCTCTTTTGCGTACATCCGCTACTTCCAGAGGTTTCAAAACGGCCTCCATGTCTTCTGTCAAAATCGGAAGCACTGATGATAATATATGCTCTCCTATTGCCTTCCTCAACTGTGAGACATAAAAGACTGGGTGCAAAGTTGATGAGGGTGATAGCCTTAAGCGATATACTATTGCTCCAATGCGCTCCAAGATCTCCTAAGGCCCAAAGTACCGTGGGGATAACTTCTTATTAATATAAAAGAATATATTTATGTGATATGCTATCTCGACTTGATATTCCAAGTACTTGGACCGAGTCCTGACATATACATACTAGATGTTATGCCAATAAATGAATTGAATCAATAATTGAATTGTAATGGCTATAAAATAAAAGTATAATCACTGCCTCGCTTTCTTTTCGAATGTCAAATATTCTTTTCCATTGTACCTCAAACTCTTATTCGTCCTTTCTTAATTCACGCTTTATTTAGTCAATTTATTTAGCTCATTTGGATACATATTTATGTTAAAACTTTTTAATTAAATTAACAATAACAATTTAACTTTTACCTTATTTTTCAAGTTATTTGTCTTCAATGTCTGTCTTGACTTCACTACTTAGTTCTTTCACTACCTAAAATAATATTAAAGATGCCAAACAACATAAAATATAATATCTGAGATGTCGAATGTTGTCAAGGGTAACGTTGAAAGTATCGAACGTCATCAAAGACAATATCGAACTTATTGAATTTCATCAAAGATAACGTTGATTGTATCAAACGTTGTGAGTTATAATGTTAAATTCGTCAAACATAGTCAAAGACGACATCAAAGGTGAACAAAATATTTAATCACATTTATAATGACATTTTATATTCAGTTTTATCATTAAAGTATAAAAATGACATTTAAATCGGGATCACACAGTTCAGTTAGTTTTTTTCTTCTTCCTTGTTGAACACAGTTGCACAGATTAATTCAAACGACTTGTAATCATAAGTTCTTTCTTTTCTGCTCAAACAAAAATTTTACTTGTTGTATCTCTCTTCTATCTTTGACACCAGAGCCATTATAAATATCCAGGAGTAATTGCATAATGTACATATTAACTTTTATCCAGAAATTTTCATTAAAAAAATAATCATCCAAAAATAATCTTTTCAGTACACATTAGAATTTCACATATCAAAACAAAAAGAAACTAAATCCTTAGAAAAGTACCTTAATAGAATTTCCCCTTCATGATTTTATCCTTATCAACTCTACTAGCCGGACTCTTTTTTTCTTGAAATTTCATGAAGACCATAGAACGAGCAGTCATATATTCAGTAGAATAGTCCAATCTCTATTACAAAAATCAATTCATATTTATAATATTTATGCATGTGTAATATTCAACTATTAGTTATGACTTTACAGTAAATGAGTTAAATTTTCATATACAAAAATTAACATAAATATTTAGCGCTTTAGAAATAATATGTGAAATTTCAGAACTTCTTTATCTTAGACTTAATAGTATTAGAAATATGAACGTGCACAGTTGTTAGAATACTATTTGAATTTGTTTGTCACCATGTTAGAAACAAAATCATTTTGACAGTATCAGAACCATAATTATTTTAACAAAATATTTAACATGCGAATCTAAGTTATTTATCTATACTTGTTTATATAACATGCAATGCATATATATTGATGCCTATTTATATCACTACTTTCACTTATGTCTGCTTTTTGACCTCCCACATCTGTACTTGATAGATGAGTCTAGAAAAAGAATCAACCTCCCGCGTCAGCACTAGACAGATAGGGCTAGAACCCTCTCACATCGACATATGGATGATGGGGCCAGAAATAGAATCAGAACATAACAGAAAGTCGAGCTCATATAATAGAATATATAGTGCACTTCACTTTTAATCACATCAAAACTCTTCTAATGACATGAGATGCATATGCAAATGATAGAACTAATGTTCTTACATAACAATGAATATGAGCATGAATTTCTTTACATATGAAAGAGTAGGATTTTACAGATATAATTTACCTTCCCACTTGACATTTTCGATTAAACAAACCATTCATAGAGTTACTTTAAAACATCATTTTAAGTTTTTTTATTGAACTATATGAAATACCAAAAATATCATATTTAATGCAATTTACCCAAAAATTCATATAGATTAAGTCGACCTGTGAAATTTTAACTTCTTATTGTTAAAATGACCAGAATAAATTAGTCTATAACATATTAAAAGTTACACGGTGGAAAGTTGGTAAAACTCATTTTAATCATAATTTATTTCATAACTTTTTATAAAAAACACCGGAATTGAAATCTGAAGTAGGGTATTTGAAGCTTACCTCGAGCAGAACAATTCCCTTAAAAACGTCAAAATACAAATCCCACACCTCTGCCTTCGAATATCCTATCTTCATTTCTCTTTCTTCTTTTTCCTCTTCTTCTCCTCTCCTTCTCTCTTCTTCCTTCTCCAACAAGCTCAGGGGTGAGGGGTTTTGTGCAAATGGACTTAGATTTATATATATAAACTTGTTTCAACGGACAACGTCGTGGTGCTCTGACACGCAGCTCTACAATGTAAAGCTAGAATATTATGGATTCTCTCGTATTCCTCCAAGTCGAGAACTCAGCATCGCAGCGATGACCTCCAGCACTGCAGTGCTCCCTATAAAGCTGCTATGCTCTCACTGTCCCCTTGACACTTAACATGCTTTGCAACTCTAGACTTCAACTCTCATTTAAATTTACAAATTATTAATTAAAAGATTGACACAAGAAAATTAGGGGATTTGTGCCCATTCTGTAGCAACGGATATTACATGGGTAGGGTCTACTCGCTTTGTGCCAATTCATTCATCTCGACCTTCTTGTCTGCTTCTTCAATTAGGTAAAACGGATTGGTTGAACTGGTTCGGTTGAACTATTTAGTCGGCTATTGTAGATTTAGCCAATTTTGCCTCCATGTTTGATGTACATTCAAATCGATTGAAACCAACGAGTAAATTGTCTTCATTCAACTGGATGGTGTTTTGAACGGGATGACTTTGATTTTGTCTCTAAATCAAAGGATGTTTGAATGGAGGTGGAAGAGTTGACGTAACTTCAGATCGCTTTCCCTCTCTGATTTCATAAAAATTGAAAAAGAGAATAGAAAAAAAAGAGAGAGAAGCTGTTGTAGTTTTTATTGCAAATTGTTTGTGCAAGAATTGACCATTTATATAGGCTATTCTATAGATCATATAAAAGGAAAATAATTAAAGCAATTTACAGGGAATAAAGAGATGGAAAAAACTGACAGCTGTAGGAACCCACAAATAGGTGACTTGGTGAGATACGCGGTCCTAAGGGCAGGCGAATCCTTGTGCTTTAATCAACTGGAGCTGATTGGCTGCAAGGGATCTAAAAATTTGTGAAGGAGCTACAGAGTTCACAGCAGCAGCCGGAGGTCTCCAAGTAGGTGCAGCATTGGGCTAGGAGGTGGAACATGTACTTGGAAGGCTCCAGGCAAATGAACCATTCAACACTTTGTAATGCTAGAGTCATTAGCTGACTAGTTTCCATAAGGGCGAAGTTTAGTTTTTGTCCGGCTGGTTTGGATCCTTAAATGACATGATTTGTTGAGGAAACATATATATACCATCTCGAACAAGTCAAGACTGGACAAGCCTAAGCCCACGTCCCCTGCACCCAGACCAATTAGAAGTACCATTGAATTATAGTTTGTTAGGCATAGAGGAAGATTTCTGCTTAAAATCATCACGCGAAGTGGCATATTTTAAGTGAAGCACATCCGTTTATAATTTTATACATATTTTCCTTGATGTGTAATTATCAAGCAAAATATTCTCAATACTAGCACTCTATACTCACAAATTTAAGCTACATTAATATGCCAATCAGATAAAATATTGTTAAATATCTAAGGAGAATAAATATAAAACAATACATAAAATACTTGAAAGAACAATAGAACTGGAACGTCTATATCAAGCAACATGCTTATAAGACAAAGGCCAAGAAAAAGAAAAGGAACCGATTGTTTAAATGCACATGCTCCATAATGCAAAGCATAACCAAGGTAAGAATGTGATGAACCTCTTCAAATAAATCCTCAGCTCTAGTTTAGGGTTTTATGTTGGACCGGGTTTACCGATCCCGCCTCGACCCATGCGGGTCTACAGGCGGAAGAGGTGGGGGGGTGCGGGAATCCGGCTGGACCAAAGAGGGACCCCCCACTTAAATGGGGGTATTTTGGGGATGGGATGATATTTTTGAAAGGGTATGAAGGGAGCCATTAGGGTTTAGTTTTAGGCATTATGAAAAGTGTATTCTCTTTCTAGTTTTCTTCCTCTAGTCTTCTCTTGTGCTTTTATAGGGTTTTCTTGTGGGAGATCTTGTCCTTCTTGAAGTGGACAAACATATCTTGTTTTCTCTTGGCTTGCTAATGCAAAGGTTCTCATTTTTCTTCTCTACCCTTTTGTGATTGTTTCTCATGTGGTTTTGGTGGAGAAATTTCACTCTTTTGAAGGGAAATGAGGGCAAACCCTAATTTGTGAAACCTAAGACGTACCATTTTATTTATTTATTTTGCGCTCAGTTTTGATTTCATTTTTTGTAAAGAAAATTTTCACCACCTTCTAATTTGTTTTTTTTATGTAATTTAATTTGTTACTTGCGGAATAGACTGAAAGCACTATGATGATAATTTGCAGGCATGCATGAGGGGTTCACCAGCTAATGCTCATGTCGTATATGCTCCAATAGAGGAAGTAAGTGGAGATGGACGCTTGTTACGTGCTTGCCGTATCCAAAAGCAGTTTCACCTTACTTTATGTGAATTTATAACTTTTTACTTTCAAGAGAAGAATGGTCTATAGGAAGTGGAGATGTTGGAATAATGCATATGAGTTATGCCTTGACTTTTGCTATGAAGAGGTTATCATTGATGCTTATGTGGATGCAGGTCTTGTTCTTCAAAAGGATGCTCGTCATTCTTTAAAGGTGGGCTTTTTAATGTGACTTTCTACCCCATTCTTTTTTTATCTAGATATCTAATTACCAATTTTGAGCATTAATTTAGATTTTAATGCTGTAGAACATCCCTTTTCACTGCATGGAAAACGGATATGCTTTAAAGTTTAAAATTGTTTGAAAGGAGTAGATGTTAACAAATGTTAAAGTTTGGTTGAAGTGACGAACTTCTTGTTGTTGACATCTTGAATCATTGCAGTATTTATGCAGAAACCCAGTAGTGTTTAGTTTTCATTAACCGTGTCAGTTTCTGTTTTCACATCAGCTATAGTTTTCCCATTTCCTGCAGAAAAGCTACATAAAGTAGCATTTATGGCAGGAGACTCATCTATTCCCACCGCCCTAAATAAAGGCTTAGTTTGTAGTGCAATGCTATCCAAAAAGTTAGAAAAGACAAATTTTCATGCATATTTACTACTTCCATTATGCCTTATTATGTTAATACTGTGGCATCTGATAGGCTAAAGTAGTAGTGATTGGGTAGCCTAACTTGACTTAATTAACTCAGGACATGTTGGAAAAATAACATGATCAAGACTTCTTCATGTAATTAATGACATTATTCCTTTTTATGTTGATAACGACTGTTTTTTAATTGAATTGTAGCTCCATGCCACTTTGATGAATTCCAGACATAGAAAAAGGTTCTCTTTTGTGGCGTGATCTTCTTCTTTACTTGTTATTTTAGGCCGCATCTTTTGTGAATGGTTATGACTAATCTTTATGATTTGTTTTTAGAAAGATGCATACTATAAGAAATGATTCATTTGATGCACGAGATATATTTAAGAGGTATGGTTTGGAAGATTGGGGTGAATATGTCATTCGGGAGGCACATCTTTCTCAGAGATTTGTTTATGATAAAAGCGGATACTACCATTGCTGTGGCTCAATACCCTTTCCTAAGTCTGGTAAGTCTTTAGTCTAAGTGCGACATTTTTTTTTCTATATTAGTTTCTGGGCATTGATTCTTGTTACTATTCTTCTTGTCTCATAGTGGGACCTCCATTAGTGTAAAACAAGTTCCATTTTACATTATTCTAAACAAAACAAGTAAATCTAAGGATTTGAGATGAGAATTTACGTGCTACCCACGAAGTTGATCATAACCAATTAACAGAAGGTTTTTCGATGAATATTATAAGTAGGCAGTCTAGTTTTAATCCGCATTGCAATTCTAGAAGCTTGATAGTAAATCATGTTATAGACCAATTCAGTTCTGTAATTATTCCTCCAACCTATTACAATGCAAAGTTCCATTTTTATTTTGTTAATGTAACATCATTCAATGGTGATGCAATTATTTTATAGTTTCACTAACCATTAAATTATGGAAACCCGTAAATAACCTCACTTTCTGTATTTGGTAATAATTTACCCCAATTCTTTAAGAGGTTCTCACTTCTCACATAGCAGTTATCAAGGACGTTCTTTCTATCCCTTGTTAAATTTCTGTTTTGTAATGTCAGTTAAACAGTAGAATTGATTAAGATTGGCCAAATGGCTATTTAGAGGTTAGAAGTGAAAGTGTGAAACAACATCTGGTAGATTGGTGGTCAATGACTAGGCACAATGGATTTGTGTCAAGTACTAACTGCAGAGTTAGAACATGGCACCATCTGGCTTGATAATAAGTGTCAGTAAGAAACCAACTTCATATTATCAGCATTAAATAGGTGTAACTGATGGTTGTTGATGGCATACCGACGGACTAACATGGAGGAATTGAGGATGACTATTGTTGGTGATGTCTGAACAATTATCTTGTAGTATTTATGGTTATAAACTATTCATAATCTGTATTGAATAGAAGGTTGAAGTCTGAAATTGGATCTATACTGGATTTCATGGTAGATATGATATAGCAATAAGAAAAACTGATTTTACTAAATGAGAAAAGAACATTGACACTTCAGAAGGAAAGCTACGAAGTTGCAGATAGCTTGTTTTGCAAAAAATGGAAAGAAAAGTTTGTATTCGAATTATAATCTAATTTGAGGATAAATTTTAATCACACAATATAGAGTAGTAGTTATGGATAAATATTTTTGAAGTATAAGGTGTTGAAATTTGAATATGGAGATCATATTTGGCACATGATGTCTATAATATCGGGAGTGTGCACTATCTTAAAGTGGATCTCTTATTTAGTGGTGATCTCACATTGTCATCATCAGTATAACCTTCAATTTATAAAATTTCATATTTTTTTTTGTGGAGTATCCATTTTCCAAGATTTGATTTTAGATATCCAAGAATTCTCTAAGCAGCTTGAAGTTGAGATTTCATTTGTTCGTGGATAAATTGATTTATGAGACTCAGTGCAATGTAGATTTTAGGATAGTTTGGGATATATATATTAACTTCTCAACTAATCTTTTACGTTGTCAAATGTTAAATTTTATGTTCTCTTCATTTGTATCCAATTTCTAACTATGGTAGGTAATATCCTTATAATCAATCATTTTATATCTTTCAAAAGATCCAAAACATATTTTTATCAAGAGATAATTTTTTTCCTCTAATTGAGCAACTTTGGTACCCATGAACTTATCCCACTATGTGGGGTCAGCTAAATGAATTTTTTTTTTCATTGTATCATTTTAAGTGTCAATTTTCCTTCAAATCTAATAAAGAAAAGTCATTTCTAATATTCTCCTTCAAATCTAATAAAGAAATGTCATTTCTAATATTTTATAACCAAGTCTTTTTAGGTGTACTTATTCATACGTAGAATGTTTTATGTAGAGTGTATGTCTTCTTGACTTTGTTTACGTCCCATTCCATGTTTAAGATTATATCGTTTCTTTTTTTAATCTAAACATTTCATTTTTGGTGGAAAATGTTTTTTGAATTCTGATGGAGGATTCATATAAACTTAACTTTCAACATTGCCATTTAACATGTATTTTTCACATCATATTATTGTATAGGCCATCCAAGGTTAGCAACCGAATAAATTAGGATGGGAATTGTATTCATTTTAGCAACAGAAGGAAAGATTTCTTAGTAGTCTACTCGATAGGATTGAGTATATCCTTTTGGTACTAATCATATTTTATGCCATTCCCTTTCGCTGCTTTAGATTCTAATGAGAGAGCCCATTTGCATCTTATAGGTTTTATCCATTTTGGTAGTTCAACTCTTAGGTGTGATTTTTTTTGCCACGATATTCACTTCTTATCTCATGGCATCCTTCCCATTTGTATTTTTAAATGCCTCAAATAGGATTTGTGGAATTTTAGTAGTGTTGAAGCTAATGTTTGTAAGAAAGGCTTTATTTGTAAGCAAATTTTGAAAAGGATGTGATTGGTTTTTGGGATAAAGAGGATACTGTAGGATAATGAGTTGATCATTATTATAAGAATTCGGTTATCGAGTCTTAAGCTTTTTGGAAACTCTAGATGGCCTTTGTCGTTCTTATAAAGGCATTAAGAAGTTTAGTTATAGGAGTAATGCATTGTTGCGTTTGTGTAGTTGAGATTTTAATAGAAGATATTAAATTCATAAAAAAAAAATCATTTGATTGGGACATCATATTTCGACACGTGTACCATCGCCGGAGGTGCAGATCGACGACCACGATCCAGAGTCTCTATTTTTGATGTATTCACATTTTATGTTATTTCCTTTATTTTCCTAGTTTGCGCCTGAGGGCATTGTTTCGCTTATGTAGCCCTGAGGGCATTTACGTCATTTTATTTTATGTTTATTTTGGGCCTCTTTATATGAGGCATGATGGATTGTAATAGTTAGTTTTTGATGAAATGAAATTTACTGCTTGTTCTCTTTGTGAGTTCCTCCCTCCAAGATCTCTTCGTGAGTTTGCTGGAGAAATCCATAAAAAATCAAACTCGTCGCTAGGAAAGGAAGCCCGCCCTTCGTCGTCGTCGTGCTCCAGCCACCGAAATTCCTTTAACAGCTTTGTTCTTCGCTCGATGTCTGATGTCTGTCTGAATCGCAAAAATCTTCTGATCAGCGCGATTTCGGCCGAATCGCAGATCTCACTCGATCGCCACCGTCGACACAATTACTAGATTTAGTGAACGAATTCAAAATATTTTAAAAAGTTATCCGGAGTTTATCGGAACCAAATTGAGCTGAATCAGGTCAGTTGTGGTTAAGATCAGGTTAGGCTCGAGTCTGAATTTGGCTCGATTTGAGCCAATTTTTATTCGAGCTGACACCACGAGTTAGATTGCACAAAATTAAGCTCAAAATCAATACTAATTTAATCGAATTAAGCCCGACGCAACAAAAATAAAATAATTGAGTCTAAATGAACAAAGTCGAGCCTGATCCGGCTCAAGTCGGGTCGATTCGAGCTCAAATTGGACTCAACGATGTTCGATTAAATCGATCGAAGGTGCTCGAGGGTACTTGAGCGAAAAATGAGGTCAACACTTTTCTTGAACTTTACTTGAGTAAGCTAGATTTTTATAGTGAAAGGCAAAGTAATATTCTATTATTAATCTCTAGCGTGCAATTCCTAATTTTGCATGATTGCATCACATCACCATTTAGTTGTTTTCTCCTTGAAAACAAATTTGAGTGAAGAAGTTTTATTTTTCATGAAATTGATGTCTTTTGGAAGTCTTTTTATTTTTTCGTGGTCGGATGATAATACTTATACTCTTTTTAAATTTATGAATATCTTTAAAAAAATACATTTAAGTGTTATAAGATCGTGTTTACCCATGTATTGTTTGTGAATATGAACATATGCCAACCAAATTTTTGGTGGATGTTTTTAGAAAAAAATATTTGCAGTACAAAAATTTGCACTTAAAAAAACTTTTTAAAATCACTCTTGAGGCTATTTTATTAATTAGATATATTGGGCTTAAGACGGTTCCTCCCTAATATTCTCTAGGAATTTGACTTTGAAAGACGGATTTCTTTAATCAAGATTTGAATGAAAATATGATCGAATTCATTATTAAGTCATACAAGAAATTCAAATACTCATATTCTACTAATTGTTTAAGAATCATGACATCATCACTAAACTTTATCTTGGACCTTAGTAGTAATTGAGCTCTAACTGATAGACTTTCATTGCATTGAAATATTCAATGGTAGAGAGAGGCTACCTTAGTTATTGAGAATTCCATCTTAATCTTGTAGATGAGACGATATATTTAAGTTTGTTTTATAGCTTTCCTAGTGCCTTTTGCGGTTATTAAGAATATGTATGGCCCATCGATTTCAGGCATCATGGTATTCCATAAGTACGACTTGATCGTTAAATCTACTTCAGATGAGGATAAAAAATATGATGAATTTTTTCTCTTTCCTTTCAAAAATGTCTTCACAATCTATAAGACCACTTCACATAATTTATTCCTTGAAATTCTCCTTTAGTTTAATTTTCATCATTCATGATGGTCAACTCTTTGAAAAGGAAGCCGAAAAAATTAAGCATTCCGAGGAGAATATGATTGAGGGAAAAATAAAAATTTTAAACAAGTCTTTAATATTGCTTTTCTAGCACATAGAAAGGTGGTTGTTAGAAAGCTTGGATTTTGTATACATCCCATGAATATCTATACACAAATGATACCTATAACAACTAAGAAATTACACAATTGTTAAGGAGAGAAATGATTACATTGAATTGCAATTTTACAAAAGCAAATAAATCAAGCCGATAACTAAAATCAAAGAGAACTAAAACTACAATTAATAATTGAACCGGTTCTTTAACAATCAAATAAAATTGATTCAATTCCAATTTTTGATACTAAACAAATAATTCATAACCTAAGAAATCTCTTATCTAATTTTTATTTAGTATTAGAATATTAGTCTTCTAGTGGCTGGTCTTTGTCCCCTTTACATCATGATTAATTGTTCTACTTTATTGGCTTGATGTGATTCGTCTTTGTCACATCTTCATTGCATCTCATCTTCTATGCCTTTAGTGATTGCTTGACAAAGCTAAGTAACCTTGAAAACATATCCACACATCTGCAGGCTCTTACAACTGCTTCAAGCTATCATCCTGAGTCATTTATATAACTTTGGGCATTTTGATTACTCATAGTATGATAAGCACACCAAGAGCTTGGTCGCAACTAAGCAACTTAGGATATTTTTAAAAGGGGTTGTGTATACCTATATTTACAGATAATTGTGCGGATTTTTTCAACATTTCTTGAAAATAGTAAGCCAATATTTTAATCATGTACTATAAGAGATTGTGTTTTAGTGCAGGAGAATATCAGTTTACTGGGAGTGATCCGCAATAGCATTGGTGGAGGGACGCAAACTATCTATCACTGGTGAAATTATTTTGTGCGGATATAGATGCTGTTCGGAGACGAATCATAATGTGCAAAGCCACTCGTTTATTGTGTACCGTTGTGTACCGGGTAACGTGGCGCGTTATTATTCTCCTCCGGATGGTCTGGTGTCCGCACAGAATAATTTCTCCTATCCCGCACAGCTGGGACCAAGTATCTAGTTTGTCATCGAGCTTGTGCAGTATATACTTGTTTGTTTTGGTTTGCAGAAGACTAGCCTTTTACAGCTGAACGCTATTTTATTTTCTGGAGGAAATTCTTGCACTGAGAGGAAGCACTCTCCAGCACACTACTGCATTATGCGTTGCTTATATTTCTTTCAAAAATCATCTATTTTTCTGTTTGAATCACTACATTCATTCTTAGTTATATTTTCATAATGGTCAAAATTTTCCTCAGATTCTGATTTCTTATTAGAAGTTCATTTTTTTCTTTTCACTTTGGGTTATACAGCTTCTTTCATAATTTGTTGTTCGAAGGTCCTGCAACCAATGTTTGTATGGCCGAAGATCTGGCCTCAAATCCTTAAAATAATAATAGTAATAAAAGGATGCCTGACATCAATTTTATATTCTTTTCAGGTCGTCTGTCTGTGGATTCCGGAAGTAACCCTCAAAGCAAGCAACCTGCTGCTGGACGCGACCATTGTCACCCACCATCGGCGGTTGGCCACCACCACCTGCCGCAGGCCACTAGACACCATCGCGGCCCCCCGCTGCCTCCAAAAACCACCGTTGCCCCCTCGTCGTCCACCACCACTGACCGCCATCGGCCACCTCCACCAGCCGCCATTGCCACCGGACGCCGGCCGCCACCACCTCCACGTGCCTGTTGCCATCTTCTTTAAATTTTATGCCGAACAAAAAAAAAAATCACATGAATTTATTTCACTCATAATAACATCTCAAAAATATTTCTTTTACACTGCATTTCTTTTTTTAGCCAACAAAATTGCTCATGAGGGGCTTTGTTTATTGCCTATTTATTTACATGTCTAATATTCAAAATTTAATGTTTATTTATATAATATTTTAATATATCACAGCATATGTAAAAATTTCTTTGTCCACTTTACATCATGATTAATTGTTCTACTTTATTGGCTTGATGTGATTCATCTTTGTCACCGCTTCATTGCATCTCATCTTCTATGCCTTTAGTGATTGCTTGACAAAGCTAAGTAACATTGAAAACATATCCACACATCTGCAGTGCTCTTACAACTGCTTCAAGCTATCATCCTGAGTCATTTATATAACTTGGGCATTTTGATTACTCATGGTATGATAAGCAACACCAAGAACTTAGTCGCAACTAAGCAACTTAGGATATTTTTTAAAGGGGTTGTGTATACCTATATTTACAGATAATTGTGCGGATTTTTTCAACATTTCTTGAAAATAGTAAGCCAATATTTAATATGTACCATAGGAGATTGTGTTTTAGCGTAGAAGAATATCAGTTTACTGGGAGTGATCCGCAATAGATATGGGTGTGCTATGATGATCATTGGTGGAGGCACGCAAACTATCCATCACTTGTGAAATTATTCTGTGCGAATACGGACGCTGTCCGGAGACGAATCAGAATGCGCCATATCACTCGTTTGCTGTGTATCGCGGCTGTGTACCGGGTGACGTGGCGTGTTATGATTCGCCTCTGGATGATTTAGTGTCTGCACAGAATAATTTCTCCTATCCCGCACAACTGGGACCAAGTATCTAGTTTGTCATCAAGCTTGTGCAGTATATACTTGTTTGTTTTGGTTTGCAGAAGACTAGCCTTTTACAGCTTAACGCTATTTCATTTTCTGGAGGAAGTTCTTGCACTGAGAGGATTCACTCTCCAACACACTACTGCATTATGCGTTGCTTATATTTCTTTCAAAATTCATCTATTTTTCTGTTTGAATCACTACACTCATTCTCAGTTATATTTTCATAATGGTCAAATTTTTCCTCAGATTCTGATTTCTTATCAGAAATTCATTTTTTTTCTTTTCACTTTGGGTTATACAGCTTGTTAAACCGCTACATCTTCCACATCCACAGCAGTCTATTTCTTTTATTTTTAAATATATATTTGTTTCATAATTTGTTGTTCCAATGCCCTGCAACCAATGGTTGTATGGCCGAAGATCTGAACTCAAATCCTTAAAATAATAATAGTAATAAAAGGATGACTGACATCAAATTTATATTGTTTTTTCAGGTCGTCTGTCTGTGGATTCCGGAAGTAACTCTCAAAAAAGCAAGCAACCCGCTGCTGGCCGTGACCATCGTCACCCACCGTCGGCAGTTGGCCACCACCACCTGCCGCAGGCCACTGGACAGCATCGCGGCCCCCCGCTGCCTCCGAAAACCACCGTCGCCACCTCGTCGTCCACCACCACCCGCCGCCATCGGCCTCCACGCGCCAGTTGCCATCTTCTTTAAATTTTATGCCGAACAAAAAAAAAAATCACCTGAATTTATTTCACTCATAATAACATCTCAAAAATATTCCTTTTACATTGTATTTTTTTTTAGTCAACGAAATTGCCCATGAGGGGCTTTTATGTGTTTATTACCTATTTATTTACCTATCTAATAATCTAAAATTTAATGTTTATTTATATAATATTTTAAAATCTCACAGCATATGTAAAAATTTAATTTAGAAGGGTTTTGATTGAATATTTTTTTTTTCATTTGGTCTTCTTAAGATTATATTTATTTATTGTCTCATGAATAGTAAATAAAAATTTTTAAGTTTTAATTGATATTGAAATCAATCCAATAATAAGTGGCATTGTCCGTAGTCAAGGAACTATTCTCATGAGACATGATTTGCATTCACTTCTAACGTGGCTTTTTTTTTATTTTTGTATTTTTTTAAGAAACTGCAAAAAGCATTTTATTAAGATTAAACTATGAACAACTAAATTTCTCCTTTAACAAAGTTAAAAAGGGAGGTATTTTATTACAATTGAGATTATGCAAAAAAAAAAAAAATGAGATAGAGCTAATCTTGCACGCCTGTTGGCAAGCTTATTACATTCTCTCCTAACAAAATGAAATAAAACTTGGTTAAAATCACTAAGAAAGATTAAATCCTTTGGATTTAAAATTTCCATCTCAATATCCTCTTTATTCATAAATTTTTGAAAGAATCTGATAAAATTAAAGTTATTACCTTCAATGATAATATCAACACTTTCATGCATCCAATTTTGAATAAATCTTCTAAGTGAGATAACATAGAGAATATCAACTTGAGAACAGTCCCAATGCAAAGAGAAATTATTGTGTACGCAGTCCGAACGCAGTGATAGGTTCGGATGCTACGTATTTACTGCTTATTTGTTGCGTATTTTTTATGTATTTAATTTTTTCTACGTATTTTTTGCGTATTTATTGTGTATTTAGTAACTATTTAGTGAGTATTATTTATTTGTTATTTTTTGGCACAAAAAAATTTTGTATAAAAAAATACACAACAAATAAGCAGTAAATACGCAGCATCCGAACGCGTTCGGATTACGTACACAATAATTTCTCCTATTTATAGATGAAAAAATCAAGAAGTTTTATATAAAATTTTAGGAGTTTAGATAATCCTCAAGTAACTTTACATTTAAAATAAAATCACTTGAAACACTTTTAATGATATAGATTAATAAAAAATCAATAGCTACTAATCATTTGACTATAAAAATCTTCATAAAAAGCCTTATGCATATGTTTAATTGGCTTAAATTAGAGTCGATAATCTAATTCAAAATTGTAGAAGCATCTCATATATTTATTCTCATTCAAGTATCACTTTTTTTTGTTGAGGGTTTATTTAACAAAATTTTCCCAATTTCATTGTTCTTCCAAATCTTCTATCTAATTACTGATAGTATTAGCCACACTATCTCAAGTTGGCTTGGGGGTTAAGTAGGATGCAATTTCTTTGTGATTTGAATTCTATTGGATTGAGTTAGAATGTCTAGTATTTGGGTTTGATTAGATTCAGTTGGAGTAAGCTATATTTGGGTTTAATTGGATTTGTATTCAAAGCCCACGCGTTAAATTTGGCTGGGAGAACTCCTCTGAAATGAACGGATTGTTGGTTTTCAATCGCCAAACTTAAATACTGGTTATTCGTAAATGGAGCGATTGTAGGGGTGTTTTTGCATAGTTTTTGTAATCATTGTCGTGTTATTCGCATGAGGTGTAGAGCAGTTGTCCGTGATGGAGATTATTAGTAGCTTATTTAACTGGAGAAGACATTATTGGAAGAATTTTGAAATTAAATCTTTCTAATTTATTGGATATATAACATTTAAAAACATGAACTTTATTTGGCCAGCATAGTGAGCTGTCTTTCACTTAATGAAGGAATGGACACGTGCTCTTTCTTGGACAAATTTTTATTATAATCACGAAGTAATTGGCATGCATTAACCTTAACAATAAAGAGGTTCTTGCTGATTGAAAGGTATTGGAGTGAACGCAAATGAAACTACTTCACAATTTTTATATTCAGTATTCATGTGTCGATTATAAATTGTAAGTCGTTAATAATTAAATTTATCTAAAAAATACCAATAAATATAGCTTTTCATTAATAATTAACTATATAACTCTAGTGTAAAACAGGGAAAAAATCATCCAAAAATCATTGTGATACGTCTCCTTTTTATAACAAATAAAAACTTATTTTTTAATAATTCAAAAAATATTTTCAACTCAATTTTCCTCAATAGGGTAAGTAGTCGAAAATTAATTTCATGTCACTTATTTTAATATTTTCATTTCCATTCTCGTTTCATTCCCTGTATTTGAATTCCGTCAAACCAAACAGGCAAAGGGTATTATATTTTCGCTCTTTCCCCCTTTGAAATCAAAATTACTACGCTATTATTGGTTATTAGTCTTGAAACCTTTCGTGGTAAACGAATTAGCTTTCAGATTTATTTTGAGTTTAATATATTATGAATATAGCCCTGTTGAAAAAGTAAAGTATTTCTATTAAAATTTTAAATTGTGTTTGCTTTTATTTCAGTCAAATATCAAAACTTTTAAAACGTTGATTTGCATTTGGAATACTTGCAAGTTGCAACCAAAGAACGTCTAAATAAAGACTTGGTGCAATTCATATGAAAATTAAAGAATAATGATTTTATGCAAACCTGTCGAAATTAGTAAAATGACTCTTTTGCCTTTCGTTTTTCGGTTTTTACCTATAAATTAAAAAGAACGTTATAATCTTCCACTTTTTCAGTTGGCTTGCCTTGCCGGAGGGCGCTCTCTGCCTTCTAGCTTCGGCAGCCTTCACCGCGGAGTACCTCCTCTTCTACTTCCACTCGACAGCCCACACAGGTCTCGAAGGCTATTACCACCTCATCCTCGTCATCCTTATCGGCCTCTGCATCGCCTCCGGCATCGTTGGCTCTCTCCTCCCTGAAAATCTTGCCGTCGACTTCTCAAGCGGCGTCTGCATCACTCTACAGGGCCTCTGGTTCTACCAAACCGCTTTCACTCTTTATGGACCCATGATGCCGAGGGGATGCCGACTAGACGACAATGACATCAATTGCATCACACGAGACAGTCAGGTTCGAGGACAGTTCCTGGCCAATATACAGCTTTTTTCCCTCGTTTTCCTGGTATTTGTCTATGTGATAGGATGCTACGCGGTTGCTGTATCTCGGTATGGACATCCAGAGCTGAAGAGATTACATGAAGAAGATGTGGGAGAAGGCGGCGATAATGGAGCAGGGATGGTTGGGCGATGATGACCGACAAAAAGGTAACCTATTTGTCGATATTTGCTTTTATCACTCTTATTTTATTTCTTCATTAAATGAAATCAAGGATATGTTCTTTGGAAAGAGTAAGGATTCACTCCCCAAATAAATTCCTCTTAATTTTTTTTTTTAATTTTGCATCTATGATTGATGTGGATAGGTCACCCACTTTTCATAACTTAGTCACAGAAGTGAACAAGACGAAAACAATGGCTTCATTTGAAACGTTTATGTTTTCCTATTTTGTCAGTTGAAACTTAATATATAAAATTTGTTTTATTATTTTATATAGGCTATATAAGTATTAGCGCATATTACATTTCTGCATCTTTATTTTATTTACAATTGTATCCTTCTCCTCTCTATATATTCAGAACTGTATCAAGCTCTAATTAATTGAATTCATATTTTCTAAATTTCCCGCTCTCGGTTCTCTGTCTCTCCTTCTCTCGGTTCGATTCTTTCATGGTATC